GTTTCAGACACAATCAAGACTTGTATTGCCCAAAAGTATCAAACATTTAACTTGCAAAATCATTTGAACAAAGATGAGTAAATCAGAGGTATATGCATGCTGATTGATCAGTTCATTTGTCCGTTGTAATAAATTATGGAAAAATAAAACGCGTGCTGTCGGAACAAAGAAAGGTTAGTGCGGGCCGGACAGATAAGTGGAGATATTGCAGAATTCATTGGTAAAAACGTGTGACGTGTTTCATCTGGAGGTCAAGTATGGCACTCTATGTTCAGGTTTCCTAATGGGAAAATTCTATTTACTGTGTTTCAGACAAATGTTTCAGATGGGCTGTCGAAAAATGAAATGAAATGAATGTCGAAGTGAAATGAACCTACTGTTCCCCAGTGGGAACCAGCAATCTGAGTTCCGGGACTCGAAGCGACAAACCACAGTCGTGCTGTTGAGCCAGACGACAAGCTCTACTCTATTTCACCTGTTCGCCGAGTTTGGCAATTTGATTGCAAACGTTTCATCACACCAGTCCGAGGTGACATCATCAGTGCTTGTGAAGTTCACCCGAGCTACGAGAACCAATTTTCAATACTTTGTCGACAAGCCCTACTTTTATGCCCTATTTTTGTAAAATAAAACAACATTTGTATTCTAGAATGAATTCGTCTCGAGGCGTGAGCTGAATGGCTAGGAAGCATTAGACAGCTGTTTCAATTTGTTTTGGTCACGTCAGCAGTGCGAATCCACCGATCCAACCGGAGATCGAACCCGGGATCTTACAGACCACCGAGGAGCTGATCTGACCGTTTCATATTTTGTCCATGTAACAATTAGTCAGGTGATAAATGTCTCCCGGCTATTGATAAGATGAACGAAGCACGATGCCCGCAACAAGCTTGTATAGGTCGGTTGCGCTATATGATATATACTCAAAACTGAGAAACAATTTGACCAGCTTCCCGGTGGTTGAGTGGGTAGTATGTTTGCGCTCTACCTGGAAGGTCTCGGCTTTGATCCCGAGTTGGATCGATGGATTCGCTCACTTGTGATGAGGCCCAATCAAGTCAAAACATCCATCCAGTAATTCTTAGCTTTTCAACTCACAGCTCATTTGCACGACGAATTCATCCTATGATCAAATAAAATCAGCCACTCCTCTCATACGATGTATATCTTCTATCCATCGTTGAAATAGTTAGACGATTTAGTGCCATATTACAAGTCAAGTTATTATTTACCATGTGCACGGTCACCATTTTGTTTCCAACCAACGACGCACGCTTTCCCACGTCAACTAAAGATTCCCTTTGGTTCAATCTCAATGATTTGATGTATTCCTGTTACTCCTGCTGGCGGCCGAATAAATATTGAAACAGAAAAAACGTGGAAATGGGTTGGTTCAAATGTAACCAGAAGATTGAACTGGGAAATTTGTGATCAGATGGTATGTAAAATTGCACCATTGTAGCCGTCCCGAGTGTTGTTCATTATTACAGCACGTTTTAATTGACGAGATTTTTGCTGTACATGTAACAGCACCCTGTTACTTTTCATTATTCAACTTCTACTGTAGACCCCTATGTTATATCGTATGTGATAACGAACCAGTCAGATCGCGACCTTGATACTCCGGTTGATTGATCGGACGACAGCTGTCTGACTCGCCTCAGTCATCCAATCCGGAATCGATTGGGCTTTGGGCGTCACGAACGCAGTTGTGGTGTGAAGAGAATCGATGTGTAAGCTGACGGGTTCTGCGCGCTCCGTCCTAACATCCGAGTACCAAAACATGGTAGTTGATAACTAAATTGACCATCTGAGGTTATGCATAAACCGAATGCATTTTCAAACAACTTTGCGATTTGTGAAGACCGAGTGCTGATGCTGCCAACTTGGCATAAACGGAACCCACATTTCAATGGGATGGTCCCTCACATATTCTCAATTCAGTTTTTCACATAATTCAACCATAACGACTGCCATTACTATTGAATAATACCAGGTTATTTCATCATCCATTATTTTTTATTGCTCCCTGATCAGTGGCCACTCAAGTCCGTTGCAATGTGATTAAAGGAATTGAAATAGCTATTCTGCATTTCATTGCGAAGTCCACTACCACGAGATGCTCATCCGAGAGCCCCTGCCGGGGTGGATAGGTGAGGGGGGGACCTTGATTCATCGGCTCATCGTTCGCATTTGTGTCTGTCAGAGTGGATTTCTTCTGTTCACACTGTTATTGCGTTGAGCGTATAATTAGGGTAGACTGGAAGATCCCACGCAGGTTGGATTATTTGTGTGTGTGTGTGTGTGTGTGTGTGTGTACGCGCTCGCTCTCCCGCACGCACGCGCACGCTCGAGCGACTGCGAACGTGGGTCTCAATGTTGTCCATTTTATGACTACTTAACTTATCCTATTCTGCCTGCATTTATCGTTCGCCATCAATGCGAGTGGACAGCAAATGCGGTCCGGGTTGTACGTGGTTTGACAATATCACAAAGCTCTACACACACACACAGAAGAGAAAACGGTGGAAATTCGGCAAAGCTATGAACATTTGTATTCCGAATTGTAGGAGATCAAGCGGGCTGCTCGTCCCAACGGTTTAAAACACGTAACCAATGTATCGTGTTGCTGTTTCTTTATCACACGGAAATGTGCGGCATGCAGAATGGAAAACTACCGGAACAAATGAGGAATGTACAATGGCCACAATCAATTGCATCATTTCTTTCATTTCCAATATGTTTGTGTTGCTCCTGGTGTGGAAACAGTCCCTGTTGTTGTGGGCAAGCCGACCGACAAAACGGATACACTCATTCAATTATCACAGACCAGTATAGTGAACATTATTTTTACTCAAGGAATTCACCCGCAGTGTCCTCCGCATTCGACATTACAGTCTAACCTGGTATAAAACGGGGTGTGCCTGACTCTGTAAGTAGGTACAGCTGTTTCTATCCCTAGGCCCGTGCTCGCTGAAGACACGTATAAAAACTGTACACATTCTCTTCACTCCTTTCAGTTGCAAGCCAAGAGATTTTCCAAACCCTCGTTCTTGCGCATCATGTGAAATCGATCAGCCTGGAGCTCACCAAATTAGTAAACCAGATCAACTTTGTGTAAGTGTGTGTGGCGACATGTTTATTTGCACACAGAACCCAATTCGTTTTTGAACAAACAAGCAAGACGGTTTGATGAGCAGAGCTAGAAACATGTTGAATATGGCCCCCGGGATAACGTGTAACGAATTCGAACCAATAGGGTTGGGGGTATTCAATAGAACACGGGCTGGAGTAGAGGGGTAACTGGGCGAACATTTAATTATATCACTGCGTCGTTCTGATCAAATGCGAACCAGATGTGTGAAAATCCGTAATGTCGGCGTGACTCTTTGGCCCGTCAGCCTTAATCCCGTGCGCAGATTCGAGTACCATCGAGGAGTATAGTCTTTTTACAGTTAGAAAAATATCATTTCTCGTTGTTTCTTCCCCCGGAGACCTACATGCTTATTGATGGAATGTACATGCTTCTGTACGTGCAATGACAGGAATAAATGGTAAATATCAATCAATGCTCTCGGTATGGTCTCCTAAACTCTGGCGATAGAGCATGCGTTATTAAACAGCATCAGTAGCGTTCATGCGTTGATTCGAATTCCGCAGAAGTGACCAAATGAACACATAAAACAATGTTCGATAGAATAAACAAGCTGTTAGTCTATTGCTACAAAAGTTTCTCACTCTAACTTGGGTTTGTCCTAGACATCAAGCAAATTTAAACAAACCGGGCTACATTAAAATATGACATGAAGGAGGCACCAATAAATTGAAAATGAACCAATAATTAAAGAATCTCTTGAATCCAAAGCTCACGAAGTTACCGAAGACCTAAGACATCCCCCAATGGAACGTTTATTGAAGAACCTGACCGCCTTTGTTACATATCCATAAAGCAGTGTTGGAACGAGAAAAGCTGGTTATCACCAACAACGGTAAGAGCATCGGTAAATTGGCATACAGACAACAAAACGTCTCATTTGGAACAGATCATCATAATTCCAACAGGCATTGAGGATAATTGTTTTAACTGCCCGACGGTAAATGTGCATTTTCTGTGGTCACAATTTGTAACAATCATTCGCTATAAGAGGTCTTATTCATTTTTGACCGTTGTAAGAGACCGCCATTTATGTGGCTGGATTTTATTGGTTCCTATCTACGATAGTCAAAGTTGTTCATTGACGAAGAGAAAGGATTTCAAGTGTGATAATCTACAAACAAAATAAATTATGAAAGTTTTCGTATTCTCTCTTGATGGCAGTTTGGATTGTGTAAAAAACAAACCGATAGGATTGGAGCACAGTGTCAGTGGCTTCAGATTGGCACAAAGTCATACTGAAACCAAAGGTATCAGTATCACAAGAGAGAAACGAACATTGATAACCTATTGATATAATTATGTCCGATTCCCGTTCTTCAACCAGTGCAACGGTACTGATGCATTTTATCCCTAAGAAACTGTGATTACTTCAAGTGAGTAATGGAGGATTTGATTCAAGTTCAAAGGTGAGTTTGTCGTATATGTAGCCAATGAAGCGTGAACTGAAGTGCTAAGAAGAACTGGACAGCTGTTGCGAATCCATCGACCCAACTGGGTATCGAACCGGGGACCTGATGGGC